TCTCCTTTGGAAAAGCAGGAAGCTGTAGCTGCCAGACCATGTGCTGGCTGGTTTGCTGAGCTGCATTTTCCCCTTTCTATGCACTTTTCTCTTCTAAGGATGGTTCTCCAGGTAAGTGGATGGGAAGGAAGGTAAGTGGAAATGAAGATGATATAAAAACAACAGATCAGAAAAATTTTTTTATTAAGGAAGGTAAAGAAGAGAAAATATGCCTCTCTCCCTTCATTACATGAGGGAAGACTGTGGGTATAGACTGTTGGCTATATTGTCAGACACCACGTACAGTTTTGTTTTACTTAACTAATTTTCCCTTTTTTAAACTTTGTTATAAGAGATGGCTCATTATGCCAAGGAAAATAGTGTGATATAAAAACAAAAGCCAAAATATAAGACACCTTTTTGAAAGGAAAAGGGGAACTTTTTTAATGGTTAAATATTTAATTAAAAAACATTTTTATAAATATTTCTATTAGAATGGTTTATAAAACTTAAATCTAAGTAAAGTACATCTGGATCGACCAGCTTAGCACCCGGTCAAAACAGGATTTCCAGTTACTTTGGCATGACCTGTTCTTGACAAAGTCATATTAACTCTATTGATTTTTAAAGTAATAAATCTATCAATTAATTTGGGTTGTATGATCTTTACTATATTTGCTTGTGATAGCTATGAATACTGAAACTAGTTCTTCCCTTATTTCTAAAATGTTTTATAGTAATCTTTATATAAATTCTGCATGAATCTTGTAGGTTAATCTCCTGATACTGAATTCAATGAATTATTCTTTTAAATAGTATTTTGATATCACTTTCTGCTTTTTATTACTGACATATAAAAAAGCTGATGACCAGTGGATTTAATTTATTTTCTGCTACGTTGCTAAAATTCTCATTTTTGTTGATCCACCTAAGAATGCTAAATAAACTATCATATCATCTGAAAAAAAAAGTAATCTGTAAATTTTTTGTATTATCATTATTATGATGATGATAGCTGACTTCAACCAATCAATCAACACTGATAAAGCGCCTACTATGTGCCAGGCATTGCGCCAAGTGCTAGGGACACAAAAAGAAGCAAAAGACAGTTCCTGCTCTCAGGGAGGTTCTAGAATTCTGTCAAATAACAATGGTGAAAGGGAGCTGACTTGCCTTACTCCTGCTCTTATAGGGAAAGGTCCTCAGTGGTGATAGTGCCAGGTTTAAACTCCAGATCTGCACTTACTACTTGTGCGACTTCAGGCAAAACTCTCTGAACCTCTCTGGGTTTCAGTTTCCTCGTCTGTAAAACGACAAGACTGGACTGGCTAACTTCAAGGTCCCCTTTAGTGCTACACCTAAGAATCAATCCATCCTCCATCAATGGAAGGTTGGGTAAAATGTTTGCTGGACAGCATCTCCCCTGAGCTTCCCAGTAAGACCACGGGAGCAGGAGGCACTGCACATACTCTCCCTGGCTGTTTTCAGAGAAGCTAAGTCACTTGCCCACACTCACATCAGTATTAAAGATACGATTTCAAACCAGGCCTCCCCCAAATCTCCAACTCTGTGGACTCCCCCACGCTGTCCCCTGAACTTCTCTTGTAGTCCCACTATTATCACTCTAGTGTAACAATTTTCCTCAATGTACTGCTTTCATCAGGTCACTTTCCTTCTCAACACCCTTCAGTGGCTCCCCACTCCAAGACCAATTTCTGAACCGTCAGCCCACCTCCAAAGTCCACGTATAATCAGGCCCCAATCTACCACACTTATTCAGACTCTACCTCCCATTACTTTGCAACACAGCTCCCACAAGCTGCCATCTTCCTTAACACACATGCTCCACTTTCCCCTTAAGAAAAACACTGTGGGGGCAGCTAAGTGGTGCAGTAGGTAAAGCTCTGGTCTTGGGAGTCAGGAGGACCTGAGTTCAAATCTGGCCTCAGACACATGACACTAGCTGTGTGACCCTGGGCAAGTGACTTAACCCCGACTGCCTCACCAAAAAGCAAAAATATATATATATACTGTGTTCATTCCTCACTCTGCCCCATAACTTAGATCATGCCAGCTCAAGGCCAACTTCACAGATGGGAATATGAATCTCTGAATCTGCTTCCTCAATTTATAAACTAGTTTCTAAGGCCTTAAATTTCTACTTCAGAATTACATAAATTATTAAACACCAAAATTAGGAGTAGAGATAAAAAGCTCAGAAATGGGAGAGAGGACTCTGTGATAGAGTCCCCAGGTATGCTTCATCTAGTCCCCATGAGTGCATTAAGAAGGCGAGCATGCCCATTGAAGAGATCTAAGGAAAAGGGCTTTGTTATCCATGACCATGGGTCTCCAAGGACACAACAGAAGGGGACTTCAGGGTAAGACAGTACTGAGAGAGCCAGCAGCGAAAATGGGCTTAGCTAAGGCTTTGCTCCTAAGGAAGCAACATGCAACTAAAAATTACAGCAATTCAGGAAAGAGAGTTGGGGGGTCTGCTAACCATTAGATAGGAAAAGTACCAGGTAATGAGGTCATCTGGACGCCTAGCATCACATAAGCAGAAAGGGCAGTCGTAGTACCTGTATCACTGGGGTCTTCTCTCACTTGACACTGAGGAGCTGGCACCGGGGGAGTGAGGTGCTTGGGCCAGACAATATCTAGTGATTAGGTCTTTAGGGATAAGACTGAATTCACACTTGGTACTATCTCTGTTCCCTCATCCTATGATGGCAGAATACAAGTCACACTTAGAACACGTTCTGGACTCCTGATCAGGTCCGGACCAGCAAACAGAAGAGTGTAACCTGGCTACAGGTTTAGCATGCCCCCAGCCGCTGTGTGACAGTGAGCAAGTCAATGCAGCCATCTATTCCACAACTGTAGCTAAAGCATCAGGTACTCGGTTGTGGGCTGGGGATACAAAAACAAAAACAGACAAGACTCTACGCCTTCAACCAGGGCTCCTCCCTGTATACCACTGGATAAACCAATACAAAATACACAAATCAGCTTTGAGGGCAGGAAGAGGGAACCGCCAATGAAGGGAAGTGGTAGTGAGCAAAGCAAAAGAGGCCTGGCCTATGGAACAACCCAAGAAGGGTTCAGAGGATGCCAAGAGCCAGAAGGCCAGGTACAAATGCATCCCACACCCAGCAAAGAGCCAGAAACTGGAACGACTGGGAAGGAGCTGCCATCAGGGGAATGGACTAAGGAGTGGGCTAGATAGCCTCTGAAGTTCCAGGATTCTAGTCAGAAAGTACAACAGAACCAAACCAAGGAAGGATTTAAAATGTCAAGCTAAGAATTTTGGAGACTTCGACCTATAAGCAATGGAGAACCTCCAAAAGTTTAGGAGTTTTAAAAAATAATTTACTGACTCTCATAAATAGGAAAAGCATTTTAAAAAAGCTACTAAATACCACAAGCTAACTCTATGAGTTTTTTAATTTCTCTATCACACAGCCATGTACAACAACTTCCTACGTCACCCTTATGCCATCCTCCACTGACAGCTTTTGAGTGGAAGAACAGGATCAAAGCAGTATTATGAGGAATATTCATCTGGCAATGGAACGCTGAATTGTGAATGCTTCCAAATAAATGTTTCTTCATTCAAAACAACGGCACTGCACTGTGAGCTACAAACCCCCTCCTCTTTTCTCAATCTTATTCTCAACATTTACACTGTCACTAAAGAGAATCTAGTGTTTAAAGATACACAAGTTCTAGGAATGGAGAGGAAGCAGCCCAGCCCCAGAAGGGGCTGAGAACAGGAAGTTCTGCTGCTCATCACCAAGACCCAAGAAAAGCTGCTCAGTGGGACTCAAAGTCAACACCCATTTCCAGACGGTTTGGGGGTCTGAGGGCTGTTATTGTTATTTTAAAATTTTAAAGGTCAGTAAGACTAAGATATATGGTGTTAATTGCAAAACATCTGCCTTTATGCAAGACTTGCCAACATAAACTCCCAAAGCAGCACTCTAACGTAAGCCTTTTCATCTTTAAAAAGATTTTCAAATTGGTGACTAGATTCGAAGACACAAGCTCTTACACACACAGTGTGTGTCTGATGTTCACTGAATCGATGCAAAGAATCCACTAAAAAGAAACGAGCTGCTCATCAAATTGTCCAGATGCTGCTGACAGATGACACGGCGCTGAATACACTGAGCCCCAGAAGAGCACGAGCCTCCTCAGTGAGATCCACAACTGCTCGAACAAGATGGCAAATCACACAGAAAAAACCAAGCGGATGAAGAAGGCATGGAGACCAATGCAAGGCATGAAGCTGGCCAGGGAGCCCAGTGAGTCAGTCCATCAGTGCCCTTCTCTGGGACAGAGAGCTAGACCCAGAACCCAACAGGAGGAGGGGAGACTGCAGTACTGTGGGGAAGCTGAGCAGTGCTTTCAAAGACAGGAGAATGCCAGACTGCGCAAATGAACATCTTTTTAAAACAGATAAAATCCTAAGGATGCTATGGATCATAGACCGCCACGATCCCAGAAGATTCAAAAGGACCTCAGGGGCGCTGGAACGATGCATGGTGTGAAGAGAATGCAGGATACTTCCAGATTATGGCTTAGATGGGAAAAGAATAAAAGACATCCCCTCAAGGCAATGTATGACCGGAAAGAGGGTGGGTTAGTCCCAGAGCTAGAGCAAAGGGGCAGAGACAGACAGCATGGGTGCTCTCTTGGTATCAAGGAGATCCTAAGACAGCTCGAAGAAGGCTTTCTAGAACCTGGTACGAAAGATTCATGGAAGGACATGGATAAGAATGGCACACAATGAGAAGGCATGGATGGCCTGTGACCCACTCAAGTACTAGAGCATATTCAATTCCACTGAATTTCTAAATAAAGGGCTTTCCTTAGGTTAACAGGCTCTTTTAACTGTTTACTACCAAAAGGTCAATTACCTCCCCAAAAGTGTACTTCTAATCAAATGCCAAGCTAAATCTACAAGTTGGTGTCGCTATCACTAAAGAGAGCCGGTGCTCTAGATAAACATCCCGTACCTTTGTCCTTCTTAAAATCTAAGGCGTCTTCCTTGTCTGTCACGATCTCCTTCATGTTGATGATACTCTGGTGGGTGAGCTGCCGGAGGATCTTGATCTCTCGGATGGCTGTGATGGGGAAGCCTTCCTTCTCATTATCTAGCCGCACTTTTTTTAAGGCCACCATTTCTCCTGAAACAAAATTAAATAAACCAAACTATATCAGATGTCGTTTTTCTCAATTTTAAATTTTAATTCAATTTTTAATCCCTGTTACTTAAAGCTCAAATCCAAAATAAATGCCAAATATTTTTATTACCAGCATACCCATATTTGTATTCACACATAAGTGAGACCCAGATTACTTATGTCTGGGAAAACCCAGCCAAAATTCCAACTCTAACTGGTGAATTTTTAAAAATAACTAGCCCATATTCATTTGCACCAATCTGAAAGTAGAATCACTCTCTGCCTGGCATTAAACTAATAATTGGAGGTATGCAGGATTTAACTGCCTGATTCAACACAGCAAAATACAAGAAAGTCACAATTAGGCTCTTTTCTTTTTTATAGTTGTCAGCAGGATGTTTTCACAAAATACAATGCAGTTCTGTGTGTGTGTGTATGTGTGTGTATGTGTGTGTGTGTAGAAACTATAAGAACGTACGTATATACTGCTATGTAAGTTCTAACAAATAATGTTATAACCACAATTTCATTTAGAGTATAGTTGTCTCCTACATTTTATTTTAATCATCTTAAAGTCCATGTCATGCTTCTATGACTTCTAACGACTCCAGGGAATCATGAACATCAACTGTTTAACTGAATGATGAAGTGGTCAAGGCCCAAGATGAGGGAACAGAACAGAATAAATGGCCCAGGGCCATGTCTAGTCTTGTTTGATCCTACTCTTACCCTTTAATGCTCGGCACATGTTTCACTCGCTTGAGTTCCTCTCTACATTCCTAAAGGTTGACTGTCAAACACCTAACCTCCTTAGGGTTAGATTGTATACGGTTACCATGTAAATAAAATGTTTCTAAACACTGGCCTTAAATAATCATAAAGTACTTTCTTGAACTGGACCACTGCTACTAAGAGTAAAAGTATTCTGTTGAACTTGCTGCAATAAAATCTGCTACATAAAAACAATTCTGAGGAAGCTTTTTTTCCCAATCCTTCTCTGGGGGAAAAATTGCTTACAATTTTTTAAATAATAAAAAGATACCTAAACAAAAACACTTGCTTTATTAAGGTTGCTTATTAATAATTATTATGATTTTATGGTTATGGCTAACAAAGGAAACTTTAAAAATATGTAAAATTCTCTTTAAAAAAAAAGAAATCAGAATGAGAGAAACACTTGATTCCATCAAGAATCACTACGTAGCAAAAGAAGCTGACATGATTATGACACAATCCCTCCAAATCAACTATATTCTTTAAAATCCCTAAAAGTGTATTTTTAGAAGTTGAAACCAAGCCAAGTCCACAGCATATACCAACATCATCGTATTTTATAAGCTCTTACCTGTATCTTTATCCCTGGCTTTGTAAACTTGCCCATAGGTGCCTTCTCCAATAATTCCAATGATATCAAATTTATCCACGCAGCGCTTTCCCCAGTCAATATCCTTTTCTTTTATTTCACCATAGCGAGGCCCACATATTCTAGTAAATATAGTTCTGAAGTTTTATGTGCAGTCAAGCAAGACTAGTTTAATTACTAATCACCAAAATAAAACCCATTCCTCCCCCCATCTTTATAATGACAATGGGGTTTTGGACCCAATGTTATAACAATGCTACAGGGTCATTTTATCACCCAGACGTTCATTCATTCCGTGTATAAGCTCCATGAGAGCTTTTCCAAAACAGGTCACTAAAGCCAAAGAAATCAACATTCAAGGTAAAAAAACCCAACTCATTTGTCCCTCCATGTTTTCCCATTCATCAACCACATCTCTTCAAAAAGTGAAAGCTTTATGCTAAGCATGCTTTTAATGTAAACTATTGAACTTTGGGGACTAATATAGAGTTATATCCAAAGGAATTTATACTGACAAATGTACACGTCAGTACTCAGCTCTAAAGTCAAGGAATTATATACAATTTTTCATTTCAATCAACTCAATTAACTACACTAATATCAGATCACAGGATCACAGATTTAGAGCAGGAAGAAACCTTAAAAATTGTCTGGTCCCACCCCTAATTTTACAGATTAGGAAACTAAGTCCCAGAAATGTCAAACGACTTAGTAGGAATAAGTGGCAGAGGGGATCTGAACCCAAATTCTCTTACTCCCTAACTTTCCCCCAACAGTAGCCCACACTGAGACACAGAAATACTTCAGAAATTTTTTTTTATATTCTCTAAATGAAATGCTTGGTTAGTTTTAATAGATATAACCAATAAAATATTATTATCACCTATTAATACTCAAATAAGGAGAAATTTTAAAATCGTCCTGGCTCCCCAACCTATGCTAATAACTCAGTCCATGGTAGGGGTGAACAATATCTCACACTTTTCCAATTAATCCGATTGGGATGTTTCATTCTTTTAGTTCACATCTAAGTAACAAATTCCCTTGGTGGGAAGAAAGCTGTAAGAAAAAGGAGCTTGTTTGCAGATGGCTGAATTAGGTTGCAGGGAGACTTCCTTCAGGTACTTCACTGAGGCTACTAGAATAAGACTCCAAACTTATTTTAAATTCCAGTTCCTGTTGGAAAGCAAGATACACGGGAGATAGCAAAGGCAAGAAAATAATTAGAAACTAAAAGCTAAGGGGTGTATCAGCTTCCCCACAATTCACTTTGTGTGGCTTCACTGAGAGTTGACCACAAACACCTTCCCTTCTCTCCAAGTTTTACCTGTTTGTACTTTGTTTAGACTATTCTATATATAAAAGAGAACTATTATATTTACTAGAGCCACAGGATAAAAATTAACAAGATAAAAAGACCACAGTATTTTAGAGGCAGAAAGCTGCTCAGAAAGCATTGAGTCCAAGCCCGGCAAGTTACTCCTTCAGCCTTTCCTGGAAGCCCAGTGAGGCTCCAAGAGCCCCCCAGTCCCCTTTCTGAGAGCTCCAACTGTTAAGCATCTTTCTATAATCAAGACTGCCTCTTTGCAACTACCAGCCACTGTTCCTAGCTCTCTCTTCCCAAGTAAACAAGTCTGATACCTCTTCCAAGTGACGGCAATTCATATACTTGTTAGATTTTTTTTTTTACTGGAACTCACTGACAGATTACACCAAGCAATTATGAAGATAGTCTTAATTTTTCCAGTACACCAAAAATTGCGTTTAAAAACTCAGGCTACTAATATAAAAGGTTTGGGGTTCTTTTGAGGGTTGGGTTGTTTTTTTTTTTTCAATTTTGAAATTTGATTTCAAGTTTCAGATTTTCTGGATAAAGCAGAAATATTTAAGGCAAGCTTTAACAGCAGGCAGAAAGCCAGGCTCAGGGCAGAGCAGCACGTACTTGGGCCTTCTCTTACTGTGCGCTGGGGCAGAGGCCTTCTTCTCCTCGGGGCTCGTGGAGAAGTCGTCCCCTCCTGGGAGCTCGGGGGGCAGAGGCAGGTCTGCGAGCAGACAGCGCAGCTTCTTTTCAACTTCTTTTTTCACTGCCTTTACTGAAATGTTCCCACGTAAGCTAGAAAAGAAAGGTCATCAGGTGAATGGTACACTCACTCCTGCTCGCCTCACATGGTGTTGTCTGGGGGATACTCTCTCTACCACTTCCCACTACTGACTTTCACATGGGCACTGATGACACCCTATATGTATGCCCCGAACACACAAGCTTCAAGCAAAAAGGAAACTAAGTTGCCACCAAGCGCCTTATTTCATTCTGGTTGAAGACACTATGGTTATTTTACAATTTTCAAAAAGTATGTAATGTATTTTAAGCACTTCATTCTGCTATTGCCACATTTTCCTTCTCTCTGTCCATACTAGACACATTTTTTCATTAAAACAAAAAATGATCATAACTAAACAGGGTAAAGTTATTAATTTCAAAATGATGTGTGTTATTCATGGAACTCTTACTAATTTACTTGAAGTGGTTTTTGAAACAGGAAGAACAGAAAGGATGGTATGTTTGGAACCTCTCCGGTTTATCACTGATACCTCATAAGTGATGGGGCATTTGTTTTCATTTCTCAGTCGCAATGCGCTATTTAATATGTAATATCGCTTCCTTAGCAGACTACCTCCTCCTGCAGGATTTCACTTTGTAATCCAAGCTCCAGCAAGCTAAAAGTTCTTAAATTTGTCTGAAAGTCAAATCAAATTTATAATTATCAGGTAAGGAAACAAATTACCAATTTTATGGAGGATCTTAAAAACTTACAATTATCTACATTAGGTAAAGCCACACTGAGAAATATCAAACTAGAGTCAAGAATGTTTCCAGAAATGTGTTTTGCACAACTTCACATCTATAACTGATACCAATATTGCATGTCTTCTCAATGGGTGGGAGAGGGGCTGGAGGTAGGGAGAAAAATTGTAATTCAAAATTTTTGTAAAAGTACTGTCAAAAATAAATTATTAAATTTGAAGGAGGCTGGGGGAAAAGGGGAGGGGGGGTAGAAGATTGTTTCTTAATTCAACAGTGAAGAAATCATACCCTCCCCACAGCAATACCTGGTCAAAAACATTCAGTTTCTTCAAGAGTGAACCTTTTCTCAAATATACATGTAGAATTACTGAATTTCAGCACTAGAAGCAACTTCGGAGGCAAATGAGGCTAACTCAGACAAGAACAAGAATTCCCACCCCAGCCTAACAAGTGGCCAGCAAGCCACTGCTCCAAACCCCTGGTCCTCGTTCAACTCTCTGAGGCCAAGCAGACTGAATTTAATCATACCGCCACAGAAAAGCACATCCAAACTATAAGCACCCTCATGTTCTCAGTCTCGTGTTCTCCAGGCTAAATGCCCCTCGTTCCTTCAAATGCTCCTCAGATGCGGAGGCCTTGATCAAGGCCCTTCGTGGTTCTGATCACCCTCCTCACCTGTTCAATGTCCTTTCTGAAAAGCGGTGCCCAGAATTGAACGCAGTATTTCAGATGTCATTAGAACACAGCTAACTACCACAGACACTAGATCATTCTTAATGTACCCTCAGACCGCATGAGTTTGAGGGTGGAGGGCTGATTTTTATTTTACTACAACATCACACTGTTGATTTATATTGCCTTTGGAGTCCATTAAAACCCAAAGCATTGGGGCAGCTAGGTGGTGCAGTGGATAGAGCACGAGCCCTGGAGTCAGGAGGACCTGAGTTCAAATCTGTCCTCAGACACACCACTCACTAGCTGTGCGACCCTGGGCAAGTCACTTAACTCCATTGCCTAGCCAAAAACAAAAACAAAGAAACACCCCAAAGCATTACCTAGTCATTTGCGCCTTACCTAAGTGATTCCCAGGGCCGAAGGAGTAGATGTGATACGTACTCTTCGTGAATCTCATCAAATTCTGTCCAACAATCCGATTTTTTCAAGATGACCTTTTTGGATCCTAGCTCTATCACCCACACGTTAGCAATCCCTTCCAGCTATGCTGCCATCTGCCAATTGCCAAATGTGCTATACATTCCTTTATCCAGTCCTAAATAAAGCTGGCTCAAGAGCACAAGGCCAAATATTCTTGGGACACTCCTCTCCTGCTACTTGCAATCCAAGCTGACGTGCAACAATTCATTAGTAACATCTATGCTGGCTAGTTCGGAATCTGGATAATTGTACCCAACCGTCTGGTTCACAACCCTCTGTCTTTTGCACAAGAATAATAAATGGCATGTCAACCTATTGCCAACCCCAGGGAAGGCAAATCCACCAAGCTGAAGCGGGAAGGCAAATCCACCAAGCTGAAGCAGCAAGGCACCCTCAGGGAGACACAGAAGGGGAGGTGGCATGTTCTAGGCAAGTCAAACCACTTCTACCACTTTGACTGCCACCTTCCCCTAAAACTCAGATGGAGCCAGTGCAGCCCCAACCTGAACCAGCAGCCCTCTTCCAGCCCAGCCCCAACAGAACCACAAAGCTCTGGCTGCTCACATACACAAAAAAATCACAACAGGAAATTGTTTAAAAGGACCCAAGAAAGATAACAAATGGCCTGACTGCTTCAGGGAAGCAAAGACATTACAGGAAACATTCTTAAGTTTCTACATTTTTACTCAAAGATCCTTTGAAAACACACTAACTGATCTTTCAGTCCATTCTCATGTTTCAACTAAGAAAAGCTATTCTTCTATGACTTAATATTCACAACAATGCAAAACAAATTAAGAGAAAAATTTTCTATAATGTATGAACAATGATAGATTCTCTGAAATTTGTGTAATTATTAATCATGATTCTAACAGCTAGCATTTTTCTAGTGCTCAAAGTTTTGCAAAATACTTTATATATACTAATGTCTCTGATTCTTACAACTTGGCAAGGTAAGTGGTATGATGATTTCCCAGTCAGTAACTTAACACTTAGCACAGGAGAGATTAGCAAGACCCATTGAGGCTTAGCCATGGGGATTGTCACAAACTGTTATGGAAAAAGGACCATTTGGAAGCCATACCTCAGCCTTTAAGGACAATAAAGTTCTCCCACAAAACACCCCCAGGTGCTACTGCCAGAACCAGAGGTTAAATTCCCATCCCCCACCAGTGGGGGGGGGGGCGGCGGCACGGATTTCTGGGACTCTTTTGCAGGACTCGCACCCGAGGATCCAAGCAGCATGGCTTGGGATGACACTGTAATTACACAAAACTTCGGCCCTTAACAACAGGTTTGTGTAGCAGTTTTCTAGCTGACGTTCCTTTTTGTTCTATGATCCTGCAGAAACTAATTTGTGGTCAAAACGTAGACAGTAAAAAACAATTTGCTTTTTGCTCAGTCATTTCCCCCAGAACATACTCTTTTTCTTTTCAGGGAACATCCCGAGTCTCAGAACTCACCTGTCAGCATCTTTGTCTTCAGGCAGCAGGGGAGGAAAAGGCAAAGGTGGTAAAGTGGAGGTCACCAGAGGCCCGTGGTGCTCCTTCTCCTTGGTGCCCAAGCTCGGGGTGCGAGGTTTGCTTTTCTCTTTCAGTACTGCTGGCTCCTCCTTCACCACAGCCGGCTGGCTCTCTTTACCCACCACAACACACTTCTTGGTTTTGTCTACAATCAAGTTATTTTCCACCTTTGCTCCCTGCAGAGGGGGCTTTGCTTTTGCCTTGTCATTCTTCAGAGTTCCGCTGCTGGTGGGAGAAGGCGTGTGTTCGGCCTTAAGCTTCTTCAGCTCCTTCACGTGGTTGGCCTGGGGCATGCTGCCGCCTGCAGGGTCGATACTCCCCACTTTGGTGGGCGTCGAGGTGTTAGACGCTTTGGCGTGAGCTTTGGCTGCTTCCGCGGCTCTGGCTTTCTTGTTCTTGTTCAACTCGGCAGCCAGGCTACTTTTCAGAGTCAGAGTGCTAGGAGAAATGCTAGAGTGGCGACTCCGGGACCTAGATAACCTATGTCTGCTGCGGGACCTCGAATGCCTAGATGAGTAAGGGCTTCTGCTCCTCGACTTGGCAGATCGTCTGCTTGAAAAACAGTAAAGACTGCATTAGCAAATGCTCATTTCTGTAGGGAGGGGAGGGGGGAGGTGATGTTCAAATGAGACTATTTACTTCCCAACTGTCCGGTGAAACAGTTACCAATTTAACTGAGGATTACTGTAAGACCAGGGATTTCTACCTTCAAGGTCACAGCACTGAACTCAAGTGCAACTGCTTCATTTTACAGATGACAGAAACTGAGGTCCAGAAAGGTTTTAGTTCTTCAACAGCAACAACGAAGACCATAATGTATGTGAAACAAAAAGAATCGGAGAAAGTACCAACAGGAAGTATAATCACTGACTAGAGTTTAGAGAAGTCATGAAAATAGAGTGGTCCGGTCTTCCCAAGGTCCTCTGGCCCATGATAAAAGGCAGAGGTAATCTCTGAGAAAAAAACCTAATAGGTGAATGGGCCACAAGACTAATACCTCAGGAAACACAGGCAAGACAAGACTATGGTGGCGAAAGAGTTCAGCAACAGCTGAAACCAGACACCCACACCAAGGTCAAAGTTAAGTCTTCCTTCTGGTGGTGGACAGAGCAAAGGCCCCCTGTTTGAGTGGTACCTCCCCTCACCTTATAACACACAGAGCACAGCAAATCAGACACAGAAGAGAGGGAGTTGATTCTTACCAAATTACCATTCTATTCATATCTAAAGCATTAATAATTAAGCATTTAATAACAGAAGAAAATTATTAGAAAGTCATTAATAGCAAATTACATGTATTAAGTGTTTTGAGCATTTCAAAGTATTTTAACAAGCATTATTTATCTTATCTTTACAAAACTCTGAGAGATGGTAAGGCAGGAACAATTATACACATTTCAAAGATGTAGAAACCGAGGCACAAGGAGCAAAAGTGATTTGCCTAACATCATAAAATTAATGGCATAGCCAGAATTAGAACTCCCATCCCTTATCAAGGGTCTGAAACTAAGGAAATGCTTGATTTGGTAGAATATCACTTTCAGGTTGTTAGCACAGTCACATACATTAACTCATTTTACGCACAAACAACCCCATAAGGCGGCAGGCCAAATATTAACCCTGTTTTACATGTAAACCTGAGACTCACGGAAATTAAATGACTTACTCCTTATCACACAAACAGCAGGAGACAGAAGTGGAAGGGACCCAGACTTTTGTCTTTCTTTGAAGATGACTCTATACAGACTATTTAACAGACTTTGGAAGAAAATGACTGATAAACATGGAAACTGATTATAACTAAACCCCCTAACCCAAATTTAGAGGCTAATACACTGCAAATACTTCCAGCTTCTTTGAAACAACACGCGGGCGGGGCAGCTAGGTGGTGCAGTAGGATAGAGCACCGGCCCTGGAGTCAGGAGAACCTGAGTTCAAATCCGGACTCAGACACATAATACTCACTAGCCGTGTGACTCTGGGCAAGTCACTTAACCCCAACTACCTCACCAAAAAAAAGCAAGCACGCAGGTGAGACAGTTGTCCTCCTACCCTTTGGTCACAGTGGATTTCATGCAGCCCATACAGCAAGTACGAAGAGCTATTCCCATTTGTGCTAAAGCTCATGCAAATGCAGCACCGATTTAAAGGATCACAACGACATCCTGCATGACTTTTTGTTTTAGATCACACTTCTCTATCGATCCTTCCTACTTCATTTTCTTCCTTTTTTATTTCCTCTTAAAAGAATTTCTCCAAACAATAGCAGGCTTATATTCATCAGTTTTATGAATCACCAAGAGTTTGCGAGGCACCTACTGATGCACCAAGCCCTGTGCGAGGGGCTGGTGATACAAATGTTGGATCGGCCTGGAGGAGCACACATTTTCGTGAAGAACAGAACAGAGGCTCAAATGCGGGTTTAGACCAACGAGCACAAAGTGTTTGGTGGGAGCACTGGCATCTGAGAGAGTCAAGAGAGGATTCCGGGGGGGGGGTAATCTGGCCTGAGATTCTAAGAGGCAGAGAGGAAGGAGAAGGGCATTCTGGGTGTGGTGACGATCCAGAGCAAAGGCACGGAGATGGGAAACGGAGAGACATACATGAGAACAATGAGGCCAGACTGACTGGCCTGCAGAATTTGTGAAGGGAAGTGGCCTTTAGAGGTTGGAAAGGTTAAGGCAAGTTAAGGAAAAGCTTTAAATGCCAAATGCAAATGTGTAACAGGGAGTCACTGGAGATTATTAAGTAAGGGGGAGACCTGGGCTTTAGAAAAATCACGAGGGCAACTAAGTAGCACAGTGGATGGAGCACCAGCCCTGAAGTCAGGAGGACCTGAGTTCAAATTTGGCCTCAGACACTCGACACTAGCTGTGTGGCCCTAGGCAAGTCACTTAACCCCAACTGCCTCCCCAGAATGCAAAAGAAAAAAGAAAAATCACATTGGCAACTGACTGAAAGACACAGTGGAGTAGGAAGAAACCTAAGAAGGAAGACAGAAAAAGCTACTATTTTAATGGTCCAGGTGAGACAGGATAAGGACCGAAACTTTGGTGATGGCTGTGTGAAGAGAGAAAACATAGGATGTAAAGGTTTTTACACTGCAACCGATTTTATTACTTACAGTGAAGCAGAATGAGGAGCTGAGGTTGAAAACGTGGGGGGCCTCAAAAGGATGTGGTACCAGTGAGGGTAACAGGGAAATAGGCAAGAGGGGTGACTGACAAGAAAGAGAACAAGATTATGCTTTCTGTTGCTAATTTTTAAAACATATGAATGGAATGTTTTAGATTTTCTCTTTAAAATAAATACCAAAAAGCAACAAAGTTAAGCTGTCTTTTACTTGTACAGTTTTTGTTTGATTCTCCCCACACTGGTTAGTGTTCTTAAGACCTGGAAGAAAGCTTCCAAGGCTGGGTGGTCAAACCTAATGCCTGCCACTAGCACTCACCCCCCCTTCACTGCACCCCTACTCCCCTACTCCCACCCCTGCCAAGAAGCTCTAGACACCGGATTACTAGTCACGGAGGCTAAGACAGTACAGGTGAGCTACGATCCACAACCCGAAGGCGAATCCCAATGAGATCACACACTCCATAAAGTATTAAAAGAACTTACCCAGTCAGTCCTCACGCTTCACTGTGGCAATTGTTTTTATTTCTTACAATTATAAGGGAAAATACATTCAAATACAGCCAGAGCCTGTCACAAAGTTCTTGCCTACGTGAGAGCAAGTATAAAATAGTTATAATCTTTTGAAAAGACAAAACAATCAAGGAACACTGACACTAAAGTTGGAAGATGAATGAAGGTGCACAAAGTAAACTCAGTGAGGCAACAGTCAAGTAAAAAAATGTTTTAACCATTCTAAGAAAAGGATAAAATGTTAAAGGACAACTGAGGACAAGAGCCAGTCAATAAACATTAACGAAATGCCTACTATGTGCCGGACACTGTGCTAAGCACTGGAGGTTAAAAGGAAGGCAGAAGCCAGCCTCTGCTCTCAAGGAGGCCACAATCCACACGGGAGAGACAAAAGGTGAACGACGACATACAAACTACACACAGCACAAATTGGAAATAATCAACTGCGTCCAAAGAGGTAACTCTGAAACTAATAAAGTGAAGCCTATCCTCTAAATATTGTTGGTACATTCAATTTCTATGTATTGATAAAAAACCACTTAACTTCACAAGAATTAAGACTCCTCAGTCAAACTCCAAAAATGGCAGTGCTTCAGTTAATTTAAAAAGAATCTTTGAAATCACTTTTTCCTGTCACAACATAAAACAAAATGTATTTATGTTATATGTTAGGGATGTCAAGAGCAAATGAAGTAATGAACAAAAAAAAAACCCCAGACATTTCACAAATACTTGAATCTTAAAAGTAAAAAGCTTCAAGATGATGCATTAAAGTTTCATGCATTTCTGAAGATTCACGTGTATTGTGTATTTTACTTCCCAGGAATATTTTCATTTAAGACATGGCCTCATGGACTATGTGTTTCTAATAAAAAATAAAGAATTTGAAAACTCATTTATACCTGACATTGAAATAACACTATCTTAAAAAAAAAACCCTATTTAGAAAACACTGTATTATGAGCAAGTCCAAAAAAAATCACCTAGGTTGTGGACAATGAACCTGTAAAGTCTCGTACGGGACAGGATGAGAGAAGATCTGATCAGTGTAGTCTCAGAACACAACAAAAAACAGAGGAGGGAAGAGCTAGTCCAGTGAGACCTTGTGAGACTGGGCCTGGAAGGGGGACGAGGAGACCAAACACAAGGGAGCTCTGACAAAATGGAATGACAAACTCTTCACCAATTACAGCAGAAGGATCAGAAGCAGGGTCAGGGTGGTGGACTGAAAAAGAGCCCCTGAGGCTAGTGAAGCTAGGAAAAACAGCAGGCTGACTTCCGATCAGGAAAGCCAAGGAAAAACTCGACGTGAGTCATCTGGGCAGCCCAGAGCACCTCAGGGAGACAGAGCAGGCAGCAGATGTGGGCGAGGGAACTGGCCAGCGACGTGAAGTTCCTGCACTGTGCTTGACTGGCTCTGATCCAAAGGGCAGCACTAGAACCCATTCCTGCCCTTAGTCCTGTGGGGAAACCTGTAGTAATCACCTGAGGAGGAGAGCTAGACTGAAAGGGATCCAGCAGTTCTGTCTCTACGAAGCCGCAGAACTTCAGTGACTTCCAGTGACCGAGTCCAACTACAAGGCCACTGACCCAGACCACCGACAAGCAGAAGACCCAGACCTGAGTCAAGAACCTGCAGACCAGAGAAGTGAACAGACCTCTCCCCAGACCACACCACTCTGAGAGCACTGCAAGTCTGCAGGCTCCCAGACAGAGCTGAACAAAGCAGCAGAATGATATAAAAAGACACAAGGTCAGGCCAGACATCCCCACCCCCACCAGCCTCCAGAACACCCAGAATCCAGTCTGAAGTCAAGAAGCCTGCAGGAAGGATGAGCAAAGAAACAAGCAAAAGAATCCCACCATAAAGAAAAAGAGGGTGACAGGGAAGCTCAAGACACAAA